TGGCAAATCAAACACATTTGGGACGAACCAAACAAAACCTGGAAAACAGAAAGAGACCTACGAGAACAACTTAAAGGAGTTCACCACCTACAAACTAGCTTATCCGACATCATAGACTGCATCCCCCTCCACTGGCGAGCCCTACTAAAATCAAAACAAGAATGGCAAATTGGAGACTGGGCCATCAACAATGACTCCTCAATAATCCAGGAAGTCCTCAAATTCAAGAACTACGAACCCCACAACAAAGAATGGATATGCTGCGACATACACACCCTAGAAGAACCAGGAAACCCCGTAAGCTATATCAATACAAAGAGCAGAGCAGAAGAACCATTCAGAAACAGCAACCTCCGAAGAATCAAAATCTTAGAAGGGGAAAAAAAAAGAGTCTATAAACCCCACATTAACGTCTGCGATCTAGAGATTGATCCCACAGAATGGACATGGAGCTCCCCCGCTGGTTCCACCCTCATCTCCAACTCCTACAAACTAACTGACTACTCACCTAAACTAGGCTACCATCTTTTCACCAAACCCATTTCAATATCCAACACAATATGCAACAGGTGGACGAAGGAGGAACCACAATTAGCCAACACCCACTTTAAACTCCCCTGGCCCGCAGTACTATCCACAAGACCGGTCAAGCTAGCAGGCCTAAGATGGCTGATAGCCTTTAGAGCAGTCCCAGTAAACAAATGGTTGGCCATCAGACGCAAACAAGATAACAGATCCGAACAGGAATCCTGGTGTAAGGTATGCAACCTTGATATTCCTGAAACCCTAAACCACTGTTTCATGGATTGCCCAAAGGCAAGATCCCTCTGGAAAGCCCTAGAATCATCATGGTTAAAAATCTCGAACTCTCCCCTACTAATTAACCCCGCCACACTATTCCTCGCCCTCGACCAATCACCCCCACTAAAAGGATTTGAAGCCTTCCTCGCCTCCCAAATCAAGAAAAACACCCTATGGGCCATATGGAAAAACAGATGCAACATCACCTTCGACGACAGACTCACCCCCCCCGAAAACCCACTAATCATTATCAGACAACTAATAGACACCGAAATTCACGCCCTATGGAAACAACAACTCAAGAACCTCCCAGCTGACCCGGACAAAAAGAATCTATTAATCCAAAAATTCTCCATCTCCAAACTAGGCAATGGGCTACTTGGCACAATTATCAACGACAGACTAATTCTAAAAAAATGGCTATCCATAACACAAACATAAAGCCTCCACACAAACCCCCCACCCCCACACACAACCARTCCCAATCCACCCCATCATTACTCACCCTCCTCCAAACCATCTAAGACCCCCAACCCTGCATGAACCCAATTCCTTCCCCCCATCGCGCCCCACACACCCCCAAACTTCTACCCCCACACCAATGCAACCCCCGACAACCCCCCCGCTCCACACCTTCCACCCCCCGTCCCCACTCCCTCCTTACAACCTCTAGTACACCACGTTAAACTCGCAACCACCAACCCAACCACCCCCCCAAAAATCAATAGCCCC